TATATGTATATGTTAATATTTTCACCTTTTATACAATTCTGTTGCTGTCTTTGTCGTAGCACTTTTAGCTGAGGAGTACACTTAGCACTTACATCATCATAGATTACAGCGCACGAGTTGGTGTAAGCATACCAAATCGCTATAGGTTTGCATATTTAGTATTAATTACAAAAACTTAATTACTTCCAGTGAACCATTGCCAAAATAGTGACATTAAAAATTTAACATAAATATTTTTAAATAAACATTTCTGTGAAATATTAAGGACTTGAAACTTTCAAATGTGTTATCAACAGTTTGTTTATGTTATATAACAATAACAAAGATGTCACTTATAAACTGAGTGTCACTATACACTGGAGTGCCGCTTTTGTTTAAATATTTGTACTGAGAAGAGAACTCTGGTCTCGCGATGACTACCGCTTAACCGCTGTGAGTAACGACTTAGAAATGCATTGAGTAAACTCCAGTACGTCCTTCTATTAACTACTAAGTAGGCAAACAATCACCGAAATTGTTTTCTTGCTACTAGATGTGTGAGAAAAATAGTAATTAAACATTTTTTTTATGGTATACTTGGGCCATCGAGCAGACGGTTTACCTAATACCGGTTCACCCATGGACACCTGCCACTCAAAAGTCACAAGTGCGTTGCTACCCTTGGAGTCCCTCCCGCTGACTCAAGCGGGAGGGACTTGGGCTTTGGGCTCCGGTAACCTCACTCACTCAGTGAAAGGCAACGAAAGAATTGCTTAACACCAGTTTTCTGTGAGGCCGTGGTGTCACTCCGGTATATATTATTATTATTATTGGTATACATTGAACCATGTGAAACTGTCTGGTGTAGCCGAAAAAGTCGGTGCTTATTTAATTAGGCGCTTTATTTATTACAAATGTTGAGTGTTTCTTTTACTTTATGCACATTTGGCCATTAAATTTCCAACTCAGTAGTGCGGTATCAAGTTAATGTATTTAACTTATGCAGTAGCATCTTCACGATAGTACTATCATCTTTATTATTCCGTAACCAATTAAGTATTTAAGTATAATGAACCCATTGCGATCTTAGTTGCGTCTCATATTGGCCAAGTTGATATGTGTTGAAAGAGTTATTCTTTGTAGATTTGAATTTCATACAGTATTCGTAATATTTTCTCCATAATACCAGTGGAAGAACAGAGTTCACTCTCCATCATATTGAGAGTAGTGGACTTGGTAACTGCCTTAATTGCTCTTAGTGACCTTTTTAATGTTATTTATTTCACCTAAATTAATTTTGACAGAACTTATTACAAATATATACTATTAGTTACCATACTCCAAACGGCTTGTGACACTGTGTAAAGAATTCTGTCATTCTAAGAGGGAACTTACATTTTTTAACCGACTTCAAAAAGGAGGAGGTTATCAATTCGGATGTTTATATTTTATTTTGTATGTTCGGGCATAACTCCGTCATATTTAGACGCATTTTCAAAATTCTTTTTATATAAATTTCATATACATAGATCTGATGATTAGTTTCGGAGACAGAAAACGGTACTCTTCAAAAAATGACAGCAAATCAACCGCGATTGCTGCTAGGTTTTTAGTGCACTTTGTTAGTATTGTTTGAAGTCGGTTCAACTATTTAAGAAAAGGATTTATTCTTAGTGTGAAGGTTACGCTTAAAGTTCTCATGGAGTACAGGTATACTCAGTATTTTACGCTCAAATCCGTTTGTCTTTGGAATGTAAATAATTTCAGTATTTAGGTGTCGCTATGTTAAAAAAATTAAAAAAAAAACATTAAATAGCATGAGTAATAACATCACCTGAGGTCATCGGAGAATTTAAAACTAAAAATGCCACAATATTCCACCCAGTTTGCAGACAAATCTTTTAATGTGCAAGCAGTAAGACTTTGGCAAGCAGTAACAACTTGCCTGTGACAATCCGACAAGCTAAAACCTTTGCCCGTTTTCAAAAAACTAGTCAAGGATTTTTATTTGACATTATAAATACTATTGGTTTTATTATAAATAGTATATATTTTATACTGTATGTATAAATTTATGTGTGAACGTATGTATGTTTATTTATATATGTATAATGTGAATAGATGTATTTTTGTGTATAATTGCTCTTGTTGATATTTTAAATATTAACGTGATAATGTCACGTGTATGTAAACTACCCAAAATAAAATCTAATATCCGTATTAAGGTTGTCTGTACGAGATCGCCGTGAGGGATAAGACCGCTGATTGTTACGTCCACATATTTGTAACGTCTTTATTTATGTGTCAGCTGTATACAATAAAGAAATAAACAAATAAATAAGTTTAGCCTATGCATCTATCTGTCTGTCTGTGTCATCATAGCTCCCGAACGGAGGGACGAATTTCGATGCGTATTTTTTGTTCGAAAGCCGATGTGATCGAGATGGTTCTTAGCTATAGTCATCAGCTCACTTCCTAGGTGATGAAGGGATCTCACTAAAATCCACAGGTCCGATTGATCTGAAATTTGGTATACTGTTACTTTAATGGTATTTTCACGACAGCGCAACCTGGAACTTGCTGCTGCATCAAGTAATCAGCGGGATAGCCAACTCCTCAGAAAATTACAGCATATATACCATGTTTGGGCTTTAAACTGTTTTTTTTTTTGTATCGGGGGTTTCGGCCGTCAGAAGAAATTTTAACATTATCTAATGACGACGAGTTTTTTTAAAACCAAAGTATTTTATCTAGATAATGCTAAGATTCAAATATCATATCTCCATTATACGCCTACTATAGAAGTCACTATGAAAAAGTTTGCGTGTGAAAAATTATATGTCGCGGTCACCTACTATGTTGACAAACCTAAATTGATTTTAAAATCCTCATGTTTCTGGAACCCTGCGTTTGTCGCAATTGATTTTTGTTATGAAGATACAAATCAAGGTATCAAAGATATTTGCATTGCAAAAAAATGCGACCATGTAAAAGTTCGGCTGAATTTTGTTATGAAAATTTAATGAAAAAAATCTTTCTGTTTTTTTGAGATTGAGTAATGTATTATTTACGTATGTATTGGTTCCTTAGGTTAATATACATAACACCAAGAAGCATTTGATATAAAAATAAAAGAAGAAAAAAAGATAAAATGTTTTTTGGTAAAATGGATTTTTCTCGATTTTTTAAATTTATCGACAACTATGAGACATGAAGTCACGAAACTTTTTTAAGCCTTTTGTCGATAAATTGTTCTTCCAATGAGAATATTAAATGTGGATGACCGCAAGTCGGCTTTCATAACACACTGAGGTATGATATCACCGCCAACCGTTTCGACGTTTAAATAATTATATTCAAATGACAGACATTCGAATACCGATTTTGAATCAACAACCCTAATTGTACAGAATGTGATTGAAGAACTAATAATTTTTCACTAATTTAAACTACAATTGTGATTATTGCCAACTTCAATACATATAATATAAATGTGAAAGTGAGTTTGTTTATTTGTTACGTCACACCTATACCATTCAACCAATTTTAAAAATTCTTTCACCAATGGAAAGCTACTTCATCAGCGAGTAACAAAAGCTACTTTTTACCGCGATAACCGACATACACCCGGGTGGAGCCGCGGGCATAAGCTAGTATACTTCTTAAAAATGTGAATGTGAGTTTGTTTCTATGTTAGCTTTCACTCCTAAACCACTACACCGATTTTTAAAATTCTTTCACCTATGGAAAACCACCTTATCAGCGAGTTACAAAAGCTATTTTTATTTTACACGCGGGCGGAACCGCTTGCAAAGCTAGTACTATATAATGATGGGCTGAAACCTAGCGCGGTTGTAATCACTCAACCTTTGGTTGATGGGTGCTGACAGTTTAATTTCCACTCGCATGATACAAAGAGTCAAAGTACTTATTATCAAATAATCGTAGACGACTGTTAAGACTCAATTACAGACAATTAACAATAATAGAATACTTTTATCGTCGCTCAAGTGAAATGTTTTAAGTTAAAAAAATATGTACCTAAGTTAGGTAGACCGTGTCTCCTTCGGCTGACAAAAGACAAGGTAAAAACGGTTCTCAATCATTTCTAAGGGTAAACTTAGGATACTACTTTCCAGAAGCTGTTGATAGTTAATTTTTAAGTAAAAAATCACGGATAGCGTAGTGGTCAAAACGGTGACCGCGCCACTTTGTGTAGGAAGCGGCGTGTGTGTGATTGTTCTTTATGTCCGTTTTATGAATGTTTGTAAAGTAACCCCCGAGACAGGATTTATTCCAAGTACGGGAGTTGTAAAAAAAAAAGATTTATTTAAAATTTGAATTGCTATATTAATTTTTTCATCGATACAACATTGACTATAATTAGGTAGGTTTTAATATTTCAATTATTTTAAAGTGTGCAAAGGTATATGTAGTGTCGTACTCGTACTTATTTGCACAAAAACATTTGTTCAACTGTTTATATACGAAACAGCTCATGTTTTGATACATAGTGGTAAGTAGGAGTATTTTGAAAATTACCACTATAGGCTGGAAGACACTTACAATCTTCATGGGCATGAATCACAACACACAGATTCTATTTAATAATGTATTTTAATTTCTTCATACTTCTTCTTTTTTGTAGTGTTGAGGGGCATACAAGGCCGTCTCACCTGACAGTAAGTGACAACGACACCTGCAACTCAAAAGTTGCCTCTCTTTCGAGTATTGACCCCCCTACTCTCCCAGAATCAGGAGAAGACTTTACAAACATACATGAAACAGATACAAGGAACACTCAGACTCAGAACGACAATTTGTGGATCACACAAAATGTCGTCCCATGTGGGGATAGGTACTCCGCTCAAGCCACCCCATTTGTGTAGCATCCAAGCATGACTCTGCCACGGTAAATTCATAAAACTTATTTCTATTTTTCTTTCTTTTCAGCGGTACCCCTTGAAACGTTAGTGGAGAATTGTCACAAGCTTTTGGACAAGTTCCATTATTCTTGGGAAATGATGCCGTTGGTGCTGGTAATCCTCAACTATGCGGGCGACGTGGACGAGGCCTCGCGGAAAATTGACGAAGGTAGGCCATTAATAGTCAACTGCTTCAGCGATGCTAAGGCATTATGCACTGCGATTGTTCACGCTACATGAACTGGTTAACCAATATTAAAATTACAAATAACAATATTTATTTAGAAATTACTTGCATTTATTAAGATCATCGCCATTTATTTGCACAAAAACATTATTTCAACTGTTTATATACGAAACAGCTCATGTTTATGCTATATTAAAAATAGTTTTATTTTACAGTTTGATTGTAAGTTAAAATAGGTAGGGTAGCAATAATAATAAATTAAGTATTATTACTTACTAGCGTCGCACGGGTGATAAGTATTACACATGCACAAACTGCCTCTTGAATCACTCTCCCTATTTATGAAAACCGCATCAAAATCCGTTGCTGAGTTTAAAAGATCTAATCGTACAAGAACTGGAAGCGACTTCATTATATACTATGTAAAGATAACGTGAATAAAATAACTACTTTGAGATTATTTAAAAAAAAATACAAAAAAAAATCATATGAGGACAGTTTACAGTCGTGAAAATCACTTATTGCCTTAAAAGTAGCCAATGTTACTCGCTGATAATGTAGCTTTCCATGTGTGAAAGGATTTTCGAAAGAAATAATGTTATCCTTGCTCTTCTTTATGTTCTTTCCCCCGACTCAAACTACCTCCATGCCAAATTTCATCTAATTCGGTTCAGCAGTTATTAATTACATACAACTTCCACCTCCCTTTACAACCCCTTTAAATGATAATTTCTGGGATAAAAACCTATCCTATGTCCTGTTTTGGGGACTGAAAATATCTTTATACCAAATTTCATCTAAATCGGTAAAGCGGTTTTAGCGTGAAGAGGTAACAGACAGACACATTTTCGCATTTATAATATTAGTATGGATTAGAATGGATAAGTATATTGAATAGTCATGTATATTAAAACTAGCAATTGCCCTGATTATTTCATACAACTATTCATCCCTTATTTTAAAAAAGTAGGATGGAGGCAGGTGTGATTTCCAAAATTAGGGCTAGTAACTTTATGTATAGTTAAATGTATATATTTAAATAATTTGATCACTCATACATATTATTTGTAATTACAAATATTGGTTAACCAGAAATGAAAGTATGGGCAGAAGCTTAAAATTTTTGGTCATGATTCAATTAACTGACTTAAAATCCTACTCTGACAAAGTGCTGTTTTAACACTTTGTCGCAACTGTACAATAACCTATCACGTTTTTAAGTATTTTTATTTTAAGATCGTTATTAAAATAATAATATAATATATATGTGTATAACACATATAATATTATACAATCACTTTTTTAAATACCTTAGTAGAAGACAAAAATAAATTTAAATGTAATTGCAATGTATGTTCATGTTTTCCAACAATTATATAAATAAAATGATGATGACGTGATAGGTTATATAAAAGATATGTGTTCTGGCAATGACACCTTATTTAAAAGAAAATATTTTGCTACTACAGAAAATGACACATATTAGAAAGCTGATTTTTGTAAATATAGTAGAAAAAGTTTAGAGCGGTAAAACCGTGCAGCAAAATAATTTCTCCAATAAAGAAAAATGCATTAGTAAAATTGATTTAGATATTTTTTCGTTAAAAATGTAGTCACACTAATAAATATTATAAACTAATATTTTATGCATTCATTTTTTTTTTGTCTGGCTAGCGAAGAATCACAACTTCTTTATATACAACCAAACTACAGACAAAAGCCTCACCACGGTATTTATTAGTGACTACACAAAGTTATTATAACAGTCTGCCAGTCATGTATGATCAAAGATTATTTTTCTGATTTTTTAAAACTAGAAAAAAGTATGTTAGCAAATTTTATGAGGCTGTAATTCTCGTAAGCGATTACAAAAAATATGCATTTAAAACATATTAGTGATTATAAAATGCAATTATTCGCTGTTAAAAGTATTAACATGAAATTTATGAACTCTTTGGAAATACATTGGTTCGTCTTAATTTTTTACTGACATTTTAAATATATTAGGAATTATTTTTACACGCTTTTAAAAACAGTTGGTTATAAATTCAACTGAATATTTTGTTGGAACGAAGTTCCTTATCGCGCGTTACACGCTTTGAGCGGATGGAAGCTACACCGAAAAATATGTAACAAGACTTTTTTCCGACACGTCTTGCTATACTTATTCTGAACCCCCTTAGACCCCTCACGCCATTTCTTTTGTTTTGTGTTACGCGATGTCTTCGCCATTTGTGAATCGACTTCCTTATTTTCTTTTTATTTAAGTTTCTTATACTCAAGATTGGTTTAATTTAAAGTTAAGAAAATTAAAGGATCAAGAACGCAGATTGTTATAAGTTATCATGATTTTAAGCACAGTGTAGTTTGTCATACATTTTTCTTAAGTTAGATATTTTATGACTATACAAGTGACTGGTAACAATTTATATACCAGTTATATGTTTTGTATTCATATTTAGTCCATTAATATAGTCTCCTTCTCTATCTCTACACTGAGTCCAGCGTTGCGAAAACATTTCTCACCCATTAAAAAAAATCTCTTCATCATCATCTTCAGCCTATTGCCTTCTACTGCTAAACGAAGGTCTCTTCCAAGCAGCGCCAACTATCCCGGTATTGGGTAGTCGTACACTACACTCTTTCTCTTGATTGTTCCAAAATCCTTTCACGCCCTCGATCAATTCATTATCATCGGCGTAAATATTAGCCTTGGAAACGTAGAACGCATATTGTTGCCGTCCAGTCAAAGACAACAACACCGCAGTGTGCATTATCCGGGTGAAACAAAAAGCCTATTCTGAGCTTGCCTGGTCTTTTCTTGTTAAGAGCTATTTAATGCTTGTTATTGTATATTAATTCTGAATATATTCAATTAATAATATTCATTTGGAACCCCAAAAATTGAGGTCATGACTTTGACTGTCGATGATGTGCTTTAAAATGTCTTATGAGTTGTTGTCCCTTCCACTGTAAACTTCATCTTATTCAACTGTCTTAGTTTTGGATCAAAATGTTTTATCCATGTCCAAGTCGAACCAAAAAATCGGCCACAAACCATTCGAAATCGGTCTGTCTTTTACCATTCTCGGTACCCAATGCGCGCAGACTTTACTTACATTTAAATTGACCCTTTAATGTTAAGTAAACACCATTATATCAATGTAAATTACCTGCTCTAAATAATACACGTAATTCGAAGATCGTCTTAAACAATCTTTGCGACTTTTCCAATGTTTTCCTACATGACTGACGTCGCTCACCGACCCTAGCGGTGCTCATCATCATCACCATCATCACTCTTGAGCTGAGCTGATGAGTTCAGCAATTTAGAATACTACAGTAAAATATGGCGGACCAGACTAGCCTAAAATCTCTAAAATCTGAAAAAAAAGTTTCGTCAGAATTTGTCAAACAATTGGAACCGGATTCTAAATTTCTTAAAATAAGAATTCAATTTTTTGTTATATGCGAGTACAAAAAAATCAATTAATTTTGATTTTCACTCGAAATTGAAAGTTTTAATTATTGGTATAAATGAATAATAAATCAAGGTATACAAGTAGGTCGTCTACTCTTTGATCAATTCTCACGCATACTTGATATTTTCTAATGCATTTTTGATATGTATAATTGTGAATTGCTTAGCGAAAGTCCACACAGCGCGGCATTATTGTTCACAGGAAAGATGATCGTCAACGAGTACGCGAGGAAGCACAATCTGAACGTATTCGACGGTCACGAACTCAGGAACTCGACACGCCAGTACGGACTTTAATAGTAATACATAGTTTTTACCCAAAAAACACACGACCTTCTAACACAAGACAGCTGATAGTGATAAATTAAGTTCTTGTTCTTTTATTTTAAATGGCTTTAATAAACGGTTTATTTTTTAATTGAACTATGAGTTCTTGATGAGCATTAATAACATTATGACTTATGAACGCGATTGAAAGGGTGTATGAGGCATTAAACCTAGAAATAAACATGTTTCATTACCTATTAAATAACTGCAATATTAGGATTAGCTTTTATATTTACTTAACTGTACCCACGTGTTTAGTTATTTTACTTTTTCAATACCTTTATTATAGTTACATACTTTTTGCTTGCCTTTTTATGTTTACCATAAGAATTAAATTTGTCACTTGCAGTGTACAGGGAAATACTTTTCAGTCGATGGTAGAGGACACACAAAACCCACTCACAGCTTCATATAAGTACAGACATACACACACATACACACACACACACAAACGGGCATATTCGCACACATCAACACGCATGGAAATATCGACCTAATTTTGTAACTCGTTCTTAATACACACATATTATATACAAGGGCGTAAAAGTAACAATAACAAAAGGAAAATGATTAAAACTGCCATATATATATGATTTTGTTATATAGTTGGTAGAAAATAAACGACATTTAAAAGACGAACCGTATAAAAAGATTGTAATCTGGAGGCACGGTTTTGCCCCTGCCAAGACGAGCCAAGCGGAGCGTGAAAGGGCAGAGCCGCATATTTTGACTAAGGTGTAGAATTTTTGAGGTTAGGGCTTGTATAGTTAGAAGTTTGGCTCTGCATGATATCTGATAACTTTTTGACAGTGCGAGCTGTATGGTGTCGTCTTGGCACTATTTTACGTCAAAATGTTTTTTAAAGTATTTAAAAAGTTTTATTAGTGAAAGTCTAAGAAATTAATCGGCTAAAATGATTTTCTCGTAAATAATATAACATGAACTTATGTTAAACGATAATTATTTATATAAATTATACAAATGGATGTTATGATCTGGAGTAAAACATTTGAACTTTTATAAAGTCCTGAGTCCTTGTCGCTACTACCTTTTTTTTTTTTTTTTTTTTTCGGAAATCCCCTCGGATACCACCTGTCGGTGGCATGTCGGACCCGAACCGACTAAAACCGCACGCCTTCGCCGGGTACTAATAGCCGGGGAACCAGGTATACCCTAGAAAGGAAGGCCCTGGTGCCCCGACATACCTCGGGTCATCTACAGACGAGTAGACGACCCCCGCCCCGTGTGGGAACCCCATGTTCCCTGTGCTCCCTGGAAGCGAGCTCGCCGCCACCCCGGCCTGCTTCTGCTAGGGTGACAGATGGCCTCACCTGTCACCCCCAGGCCTGCGCTTATGGAGGACGGAGGTCGTTCTGCGACCTCCGGCGCCTGAGTCGCCTGCGCTGCCTGGCCCGTGCCCGGGCCTGGCGGGCCGGGAGAGTTCTAAACCTCTCCCGGTCCCGCTCCGCCGTCTCCTTCGCGAGCATAACTTGCTCGCAGAAGGAGACGGCAGAGTTCCACGCACTCTCGCTCCGCACGATAGCCGCAATCAGGCTATCGAGCGAGAGAACTCCCACTCCGATGGCCGCCACGAGGTCTCGCCTCTGCTTAACCCACGCCGGGCACTCTGCCAGCGTGTGGAGAGCCGTGTCCACGGTCTGGCCATCGCAGTGGTGGCACTCAGGCGTTGGCTCCTTGCGGATCAGACACAGGTGATCTCCGAAACATCCCTTCCCAGTGATCACCTGCGTCAATCGGTATGAGAGGGTCCCGTGACGCCTCTCGAGCCAATCCTCCATAACGGGTCTTACCGCCGCAATGACGGCGTGCCCATGTCGCTACTACCTAGAATTGTTAATATTTTTACAATTTCTAATTCACTTCCAACGGTAAATCAGAACAGGACGCGTGTTATTACAGGTAACAAAAAGATATCTCTATATTAGTTATTTATACTTTCAACGATTAATGTTAAAATTAAGTCGATATTTCTACCATTTTCAGATGTCACGTTAATAAGAAACCTTAAGATATATTTTTAAACACTAAACAAAACAACACCACCAACCACATTCTACAACAAACAAACTATCCAAGCCTATATGAAACGAAACTGAATTCGTTTTTGCATTTGTATTTTATTTTATCATTTAACGACTCGGGTAAATTAATTTATATAGTATACAAAATAGTTTTCAGGACCAAATTAATGAGTACCAAATAGTACATAAAAATACAATATACAATAATATATATGCCACTATATAGTTTCTAATATTGTCTAAAATTAGTCGATTTATCCACCTTGTTTTGCTTTATACTACTTGGATTAACTGATAAAATTGCGGTCAATTTAAAGTAATTTGAATTACTCGACGGACATTGTGAAACGTGAGATTGACAAACGGTCGGCGGTAAAAGCGTGCAATTTGCTTAACTTAAATGTAGCTTCAATGTGAAATAATCGTACTCGTAAAAATAAACAGTTGTATTATTTTCTTGTTAATGTTGAAACGGCCTTTTTGGGTCTGCTAAATTTTTGTCTGTATAACAAATATGCCACGCATCTCTTACGCATCAGATTCTAGATCGATATTTATAAATATTATATATCGTTCTATAAATGGTTGCAGTGCGGACTGCAAATAATTGCTTCGTGGAAACACCCAGCATTTAGTAGAAACTAATGTTAAATTGGCAATAGAATCTTTCATTTATACATAAATGGGCAATAGTAAAATAGATAGACAGCTTTGTTTGTTAATTCAATATTTTTTTACGAAAGTTTTTCTTCGACTCAGCTTTGTTACGATTATTTTTATCGATATTATAAGTAATGGGATAAGGTTCAATTGTACCCCTAGGCGACAAGTTAGAATGTAAAAAAATATAGTTAATATTGCTATTTTTTTAAAATCATTTAACGTATTACTAAAAAGATGTTTTGAGAACAGAGAAGTTAACTTTACAAGCCGCTAATTTATGCAGCAACACGTTTTAAGTAACAGTTTGCGAAGTCAATAGTCAGTCTTTAATAATAGTTTGAAGGGTAATCGATATGAACATTGTTTTCTATTCATTGATAGAACATTGTTCTAGACTAATTCAGTTATTAAATATTGCATGGACACAACAAGCTCGTGGCCACTAAAAGAGCGATAGCAAAAACTAAATGTAACCAAACTGAACAAAACACTCCGAACTTATATTTATATGTAATGTGTTGCAATAAATACGCATAAGCATCCTTTTGAGCTATGTATGTATGTGCAAACATAAGTAGATACGATTGAGTTTAAAAAGACTAAGAAGTTTTAGCTATGAATTCAATAATTTAAAAAACTGTACCAAGTAAATAAAATATGGCAATTGTGTTAATGTTGTTCTGATCTCTGAATTTGTTCTAGTATTTGTCCAGTTCAGTAAAAACTGCTTATAAAAATAAAAAAGTAGCACGTACTACTTACATAAATCTTTCGTAGATAAATCTTTCTGATTAATCTACGTAATTAAATGACGAGGACATTTGATTGATGTATCTCGTATTGTATCGTGCCGTTGACGGCATAAAGAGGAACAAAATAATGACATAAAGTGACTTAACTAATTACGAGTCGGTACGGTCAATTAATAGTACGTTGCGGTCTGTTGTCTTGCGGCTTAGTCGACTAAATGGAATTAGAAAAAAAAATGGCATGCATCGTGCAACTCTGTAATCAGCGATGAACTGATTCGATGGAAAGCCATTGTTAAGACATTAAATTCGTGAACAGTGGCTAGTTATACCGTGTTTAGAGTTCTGTTTAATTTATTTTGCTGTAGAGGAAGAAATCGTTCGTCGTTTTTGTGGCCTCGTCTTTAGCCCTCGTCGTTTGAATTGCAACGTCAGTAGGGCGGTTATTTCACTAGTAATTGCCGATACCAACAATATTAATGGTATGTCCAATAACAAATGTAATAATAGAAAGCGATTTTTTTTATGGAAGAGGGGGCAAACGAGCAGACGGGTCACCTGATGGAAAGTGACTACCGACGCCGAACAACAAGGTCGACATTAATACTATAACTAAAGATAGTAATAATGATAATGACAACCTTGATGTCAGAATGCGGTGTCAGATTTTTTTTTATTTTCGAAGTCATTGCAAGACATTTTGGACCCACCCTTTTTTGTAATGTCGTCGTGGATAAAGCTAGAGGTCTGAGGTATCTGTAACCAAGAGCGCAATACATGATAACCCAAAATTACCCACGATTTTTAAATTGCGCACTCTCTCAAAGATCTTCAAAATTCCAAATTACAGCAAATCACAAACAATTTTTTTTTAGATTGTTTTAGACAAACTACATTAATGTAGCTCAACCTTGCTGTCATAAATTATACAGAGTATTATAGAAAGATATAATCTTATTTTAGGGCTCATAAAGAAAGTAACAATATGTTTGAAAAAAAGTGTGTTTTTTTTTTAATTTGTCAGCACATAATGCTCTTAAAATTTGCTTATAAGTAAGTACCTTCTGTACCACCCCGTCAAATATACGATTACACAGTTACTTTTGTAAATACGCTACTTAATAGAACATACTTTAGTGGCCGTATAAACATAAGACAGATTTATATTTGTTTAACAAATAGAAGGACGATGACGCGGCAGTCGCACGCGCATCTATTTAATCTATTACGCTGAGCACTTGATTTATGTTTGTTTATGCTTAAATTTAGCCAGCTAGCGCCCCAAAAATGACTATTTAAAATAGTAGATTGTTCATAAGTAATTAAGTCGCCGCGTGATATTAACCAAATTCAGACAAAAAATATTTAATAAAGGAATAAAGATGTATAATATTGGAACGGTGGTGTTGTTAGATAGTTTAGTCATTTAATCAGCGCCGTTAGCTGCGCGCCCTCGCCACCCTCTATTCTATTCTCAACTCACATATTTCCCCTGACATCCTTATTCCAATTTGTACGTTCCAATCACAATAGAACACTTCGTTCCTGAAACAATCCACTTCTGTTATACCCCACTCATACTTCCGCGTGTGTCCACTCTTCGCTCCTAATCCAATCTGTCTTCCTCTGGAACGCTCTACCTCTCGAAATCAGGATAGAACCCAGCCGCCTTTCATTTAAAATGAAAATCCGAGCTCGCATTTTAGACTCCCTGGCAGATTCATCACATACGAGTACGTGTGAGTGAGTGCTGTTGCTGAGTTAAATTGTGTATTTAACTCAGCAAGTGTTAATGGCTAAGTCGACCTAAATACTTTAAGGGGTTGTAGTTGCCATCATTTCTGATAGATTTCACTATGAAATACCATATTACAAAATTATAAATTTTCGAGATATTGGACTTTTAAGTTTTTTGTAAAAATCGCCGAAATTTTGCTTAAAAAAATTGTTTTCTGTGGCACAAAATCTATGACAGTTAAACTTGGCTTGTATTTTTGGACTGTTTCGTTTTCTATTCGAGATACTAAGGGGTTGTACGCTAAAAAAAAGCATAACATAAAGGTTCGCAAAATTTCGGCGATTTTTATAAAAATCTTAAAAGTCCAATATCTTGAAAATGGTTATTTTTGGGATATGGTATTTCATAGTGAAATCTATCAGAAATGATGGGAACTACAACACCTTAAAGTATTTAGGTCGCCTCACCCAGTGACCCTGTATTTTTATATTATTTTATTTACACATATCATTATGTATGTATGTATGTCCCACTATTTCTGTCCAGCGCCTAAATTATTATTATCACTTTAAAACCAAAAATAAGCCTTAATTCTAGTGCTCAGACATTTCCCCCCACCCCAAATGTAGACTGGAAGAAAATGTATGTGGCATTGTGCGCCAATAGGTAATTGGATCTCACAACTTTTTGCTGTAGAATACTTCCTTTGTGAGACTTCGATTGTTTTAGATGTTACATTTTTAATCTGATAATACTTATTCTATATTGTCGCTGTATATAAAATGTTACACAAAACTATTCCGTGTGATAACTTTTTTACAGTAACAAGGTTTGGAACTCTAAGCCCGAACACAATAACTCATCAGTTAGCTCTAGGAAAAAAAAACGAATAGTACTTATAAGTATACTAAAATACGGTTATGGCTAATATTATTGGTCATAAAATTCACATTCAAATCACGTGTGGACAATATTTCCTTTACTACTTTAAGGAAAATACGATTTTTTGTACCTTTTTAGGCAAAGATTGGTCATTTTAAGGAGTTCACATAAAATGTAAATAAAAGTGGACAACCAATTTCTGACATTCAAAAAATCAAAAATATTTATTATCATTACATATTTAGATTATCTGAATGTCGTTATTTTTCAATTTAATTTGTATATGTACCGTTGCTAACGCTCCTATTACATTGTGATACATTGCAAATTCAGTTTCGTTTACACATACGCACACATGTGACACAACAAATTTGTTGCATCGATAAGTGTCCAAGTCAGCACAATTAAATGTATGGAGTATGGTTATTAACCAGTCGTGATTTCAATTTTGCAGTGACCGGACGAAGGTAGCCAAATTCGAAATTTAACCAGTGACATTCGAGTTTCCCCGTCATAGTGTTGTGCAAGTGTCGATATTATTTTATTTTTCTTTTTGTAGGAAAATGCTGGAAATTAATAATACTAATATAAGTGGTGTACTATCATCGTCGATGAAGTTATTTTGCGAATGATACTTTGTTTTACAAGTGCCGTGTTTTGTGTGGACGCATGCTGTGCGATGCTGTGTGGCGATGGCGAACGGATATTATTGCTCCTACCTTCGGTGTACGGGTGAGTTATTTCATATCATTTAACAATTTACAACAACTTAATAGGTACACTTAAAAAAGTGTAACTATTAAGTTTTTGCAAAATTTAACTTAAGTTAGCATAAAACTTAAGGGTGCATTCACATTAAAATGTTCATTTTTGATTTCATTGAAAACTCTATCTATAGCTTAAAAATATAAAATAATGTATATGCAATGATATGATTTATTCATTTTTATCTTATATTTAATCAATGTTTTATCATTTTTTTTTGAAAATAAAACAGTTTATTAAAAATACAAATTTTGTGAAAGCGTCCTTAACTCATTAAAAAGAAAACTTCTTTTAAATTTTAAAGTGTTGCTACTTAATAACATAATTAGAACATGACGGCTTTGACTCAGTAAAGCCGTCATGTTCTAATCTCAAACTGCCAAGTAGTTAAGATATCATAATCATAAATAGTATTATTTTATGCTACTGCATAAAATAAAATACTCTTTAAATAAGACAGTTTGCTTTGCGATGGTTCCTTTATTACGTAAACATGTTGGAGGAATGAACGTAGATTACATTCATTCGTTTTATTATGTTTGTAATCATTGCAACTGTAGTTTTAAATTGTAACCAAAGCTCAAGTACCGCTCTATAAAATGAACGTTGTCCAGTTTTCTTATAAGGTCAAATGTAAACTTATCTTAACTCGGGCTACTTAGGACTCTATAGGTGAGCTGATATCATCCACCCATATGTCGTTAAAACAAAAGTTATCCAACTATTGTACGAGATGGATATCTGTTATTTTTGATATTTTGAGTTTTGATCAAGTTCATAATAATATTATTTTTAAACCAGTATCGCACCGAGTTCCTTGGATTCCTTATAAACTGGTGTAAGAATGTTTTTAAAAATCGTACTTTAATCTTTTTCATTTCATCGAAAACAATTTTTTTTATCAATAAATTTTATCTATGCAATACTGTGCAACATTGCCTTAGATATTTACTTAATATTAAAAAAGTTTCGCCAATATTAACGTTCGAAACATATTCGTTGAATTATTCGTGTATTGTTTTTTCATATTTTTTTTAAATAATCCTACACATCTCACACACAGCAACTAGGCAGAGCTTGTGCTATGGTAACCAGACTGCTGATAAACACACTGATATATTTTTAAATACATACATATTATAGATAAATTACACCCAAACACAGAACAAATGACCATGTTCATCACACATTTCTGTCCTGGATGGGAATCGAACCCACGACCTCCGGCTTAGCAGTCAGGGTCACTAACCACTAGACCAACAGGCCAGTCGTTATCCTGTTGATGATAGCAGACCACTGCTGGACATAGGCCTCTCCTTAGTTAGGAGATTTTGGCCTACTATACCACGCTGGCCAGACGGGTTGTTGACGGGTTTGTTTCAAGTTTTCCTTTTCCAGTCGTTATGATGTGTAATAATTTCACAAAACACAAAACTATATTTAGTTAAGTATGTATATGTGTGTGTGGCAGCATTCACACTTATCCGTGGAAGCAAAGGTCATTTACTGTTTTATAATCTACAATTAGGGATTGTAAAAACGTTAAATGGAAATCTTTAATGGCGTGCGTTGTAAAGGGGCCAGCAGTAATGAGTGGCGTGTAGGCAAATTTTATATTTATGTCTGTATACCGAGAAAGGACAATAAAAATTTGCAATTATGTTATAGATGTAGATGGCGGGTTAGCGGGCACTTGTTAACGTTTGTTGGTCTATATAAAATGTCTGCGGCGGCCGTATTCCAGGTTTAATTGTTTTATTTAGAGTTGGCATGTTTTGTATAAAGTTGTTTTAACCTCAGCGCAATTGCGTAGCTCTGACATCGTTTGAGAATTTGTCTCTTGTGGGAATTTTTTTAAGAATTAAATTAGAGTTTTAAACAACCGATCCTCAGTACGTGTAGGATATTTAAACATGCAGCATATTTAAATGAGATGAGATGAGAACTGACAAGAGAGATGTTTGTGTTCGTAAGATGCGAATTTGTGTCAACCGTCATTTTAGGTAACTATAATAATAAATAACATAATGTAATAAAAACTGACAATCAAACAATATAACCAAAGCTCATTTCGTTCCAATTTTAAACATTAATTTAAAAAAAAAAACAGCGAAATAAACAGAATAGAACTTAGTTTTCCTTCATTCGAACTACTAATTTGGAGTTTATTCAAAAATGGAATAGTATTGTACTTTGTTTTTGGAAAGGTTTGATAAAGTGTGTAAAGGATACATTTGTTTAAGACATATAGATTAGACATTTTACATAGATTTAGACCTAGTTATTATTATAGTATGCAACTGTCCACATCACACTTTAACCACTCCTAAGGTAAACACACAGTGGTTTGACTAGCAAGCCAGGTAATAAAACCATTGAAGCGATTTCAATTACGTTAGGCATCGTAAAACTACGTTAAATGGCGTTTCTCCCAATAGAATGCCTTGTGGCAACATTGAAGTAAATTATAATTTCAGTTGGCTGTTTTTTTTTAACCACAGAACAGATTGCCCGTATCCCCTATGTTAGAAATATCTATACAAAATAGAATAATTGCATGTCATGCACTGTCTTCTGACTGCGGTAGGTCGCTTACAAAATTGTACTGTAAATGGCTACCACATTTTACTTGTACCTATTTGAGCTAGACTCCACCTTTATTTTACAAAAGCCCTGCTTGCTTCTACCCTGCACACGTTAGAGAGATCAGAGAGCCGTTTTAGATCAGGTTTACCTACTTTACCTTTAACAACTTCTAAATGATTTGCCTACTTTACCTTTAACAACACTAATATACACCTTCGTCCATGTTTTAGCATGGAATTACTATATAGTTATGTGGGATATGTTACAATATCTACTAGCATTAGCCTGACGCTCCGCTCGCATTTTGTATATATTTTTAAATCCTCTGGAACAGTACTTTATTCCCAAAAATAAAATAAAATATATGATCCCTATTATGAATCACTGGAGACGCTTATGTAAAGTTTTATGATAATCGGATGAGCAGTACGGTAACGCATACACGATAAAACCTTAAAAAAAAAGTATTTACGACTTAAAACAATACTAACAAAGAGCACTAAAAACCTAGCAGCAATCGGAATAGCAAAGCGGTTGATTTGTTGTCATTTTTTGAAGAATTCCGTTGTCTGTCTCCGAAACTCATAATCAGATCTATACGGAATTTAAATGGGATCATTTCGGCATAATCCCCTTTCGAAAAAAAAGAATTTTGCAAATCCGTCTATATATGATGGATTCATGCCCGAACATACATAAAAAAATAATATTCGAATTGATAACCTCCTCCTATCGAAGTCAGTTAAAAATGTAATAACTAAAATTGACTAACGTCGCGCTAAGGTGTCACTCTTCTTCAGCCTTTAGTCACCTATTCATGGATTTGAGCCTCTTCAAAATACACACTGCGATGCAGTGCCATTCGCACCTAGTCACTTGCCGCTGTCTTCACGATGTCGTTGACTTTGCGTTTTCCTGTCCGAGCTCTCTATTCAGCAACCTTAAGTGGCCAGCTGCCATCTGTTCTGTCGCTAATGTGGCACACTCATCTTCACTTTAATAGGGACACTTTAAGGACACTATGTAAGGTATATTTAGGTAATTAATCCACCCTGACTAATGGCAGTAGTAGGCGTAGTGCTCGTGGAGCAGAGCAATACGCCTACTACCTGTGTCAGGCGTCCGTCTGTCAGATCATCATCTTCATACAATTTTCCTAATTTGATTTAGGATCGGGTAATATACCATTTCGAACCGTATTTGTTGGTTTCTTTTAGAGCTCACCGCGCCTATCGAACTAAATCATTTTTAGACGGAGCTTAGGCTAAAAAATACCGTGGGATTTGTATCGGCAATCGAAGTTGAGACTGAAGTCCTCACTCCTTGCCTTGATGAAACCCTAAGATGACTGGACTATTTAATACTTCTGTCTGCAAAAAAATGAACTGAATTTACACAATTTTTCTAGCAGCTCATAGGAAGGGAGTTTCGAGAGAAGAGCATTGTGCCAAATTCGATCGAAGGCCTTCACTATGTCCAAACTAACCGCCCAAGGCTCTCCCTTGGTCTCTCGATCGACTGTGCCTATAGGATACTAGAGAATCACATTGAACCATATTTCGATTGCAGGAATAGTTATTTTAAAGTTAATTAAATTATTTCTGCCATCTATTTTAATATAACTACAGTTGTTTGAAACACAACAAGTCAAACATATATGCAGTAATAGCAAGTAAGTAAGGTTAAGTTAGCGTTATAGTTTATCAGAGGTCGGTTAATAAAACGTCACATTGTTAATATGTTAAATACTGCACAGATAAGTAGAGATATAATTGTATCGTGAGGTCGGGGCATGTCTCCATGTCAGGCGTTGCAAATGAACTAGCATTATATTATGAAACTAGCCAATGCCCTCGGCTTTGGCCACGTGAAAAATATAATAAATTTTCTTTACCAACTGGAGCGAAGCTAGAAAAGGAAGGTTTTTTGTTTGACCTGTATGTATGAGACTACCCGGATTACGCAGTGGTTTAAGCGGTCAGCTCGCCGCTTGCTACTGCGCTGAGTGTTGAGGTTTCGATCACATGGAATAACACTTTGTGTGATCTACAAATTTTTGTCCTGAGTCTGGGTGTTCTCCGTGTCCTTTTGATGGATGATTGTGAGTCCTCCTGCGACACAGGATTTTTTAATAGTGCTTTAGTTATTTTTTTAAAACGAAACCATAAATTACACAATTGAAATACAACTAAATTAATGGTATGTCCAAACAGGAATGAACATATTAAGTCAGTTTCAGTCCAGTTCAGTTCCGTTTAACAAAGTCATAAAGTGATCGATT